TCAATTAGCACCTTCATTTGAAGAGCAGTCATCGTGCCATTTTTTTCTGGGTAGAAGACTTCCTCTCGCCAAATGGAATTTTGACGTGAGAATGGCCAGGAAGTAGTGCAGATTGTTTGTTGTTGTTTAAACCCAACTACCCTTTGGTATATTATAAAAATCAAGATAGCAAAGAAGAAGACTACAATGTGGGCCTATTTTGTTTCTAAGACCGAATTGAACTAAATGTTATGTGCTAAATAAAGAGAATACCACAAGAGATCTATCGCATATTGCCTAACGTGAGTTAAATTCTAATCTTAGGAGCAGAGTTAGCAATTTATCTGACCGCCCTTGTAAATATCATACTTAGATACATGTAAATCATTCAAAATAGCGTGAAGAGCGCTTAATGCGCCTCGGCTCCAACACTTCAACATCGAGGAGAAAACGACTATGTGACGAACTATAAAACAAAAACACACCAAATAAAAAAAAAAAAAAAAAAAAAAAAAACGTATCCTGCCTCATCTGCACTATTTAACACTTGTTTTTATTATTTCCTTTTTGTCGTTATTGTTGTTGTTGTTGTTTTTTTATTCGTCGTCGACGATAAGTTTTCCCTGCTCGAGCGAACAATTATTAGACGTAGCAAAGCCCTACACATTTTAATATATGTAGTGGTTGTTGTTGTTGCCAAGAAGGTTACATTGTCGCCAACAACAAATGACATTAAAAAATGCATTCGCAACAGTTAAAACAAACAAAGTAAGCAAACAAGCCCGAAGGAGAGGACGGAGAGCGTCACAATTTGGTGTACGTGCAACAGAAGCAACCAGTGCCGCCCACTCAAGAGGGTAGCCATGTGCATATGCAGGTAAAACCGGTAGTTGTAACGAGACAGTTGAATGTTTGTAGTTGTTGTGAACTCGATTTTGCTCTGCTGCTGTTGGCAGATACCTATTTAACGATTCGTCGTCGTCGTCTCGGTCGTGCAATTTAGAATTTAGTATCTGCTACAGTGATTTCCATTTAAATATGTACACAGCGTTGAATGCAGTATGCATGATAATTAACCCTGTTGGAATATGGTGGCGTTATGAATAATAACAATTAAGTAGAATGGGACAAATATGGCATTATTGTGGACTTTTTTTTAGAAAAAAATGACAGTTAACCATTGACAGTTGACAGCTGACGCTAAGTTGAAGTATCGGTCTGCTATTAACATTAGTTGAATCACGTATGATATCAGATCTTGGCTCTATTGTGGCCTGTCTTAAATCGCAAAGACCCATCTAGCCACAACATATTGATAAATTCCAAAATACTGCTAGGTATTAGTAAGGCGATGTGATCGCTATTTGGAAAGATGGAGCCCAGGGCCTTTATTCTGCAACTGCAGACTGCTCTGATGTCAATTAGCAGGTGTTCTGAAGTTATCAAGCTCCCTGTCGCAGAAACGTTAATTTGCATAAGAAGCTAGGCCTATGCTATATAAGTGCTTCTTGAGCTTACAGTGGCCAGTTTAGAATGTGTCGAGCTACTTGAGTTTGTCCCCAGGCAGTTTGATTATATTATATTTAAACCTACTGAGGTTATAACCCACCAATAACACCTACCAACTTCTTCCTTGCGGAGCACCTCCTTTATGGTATGAGGACTCACCGCTGAAGAGTTCAGGTCCTACTATATTGGAGAATGCTGCGGAACGGGCGATCTCATCAGTCAGTTCATTCTCGGCTATAACTTTGTGACCTGAGACCCGGATGACGTGCACTTGGTTACGTTCCGCTAGACTATTCAGTCGATTTGACGTCATAGGCAGAGATTGCTTTAAGCTTCACTTGATTGTCGCTAAGTATGATTATACGTAAGATTGCGTTGGAGGGTTCTTTCAATGCACCAACTTATGACAAAGACTTCTGTTTGAAAAATGCTCGAAAAACTTCCCATAAGTATGGAGAGTTTGGTGCGTGCTCCTGTGACTCCTGCACCAAATCTTGATTATACTAAACCTAATCAGTAGCATGAGAGTGGAATCATCCCATTCAGCTCTGCTGCTAAGGGTAACCTTTACCCTTTTGGCAATGCTGTCCCTTGGGAGAAGAGTCCTTGGTATTACACTTCTTAATTCTTTCATTCGCTGGGATAAGATCACCTTGCCTCTGCCACAAACTTCTGCTGTCATTTGGAGTAGTGTCTGCGTGGAATCTTGACAACTCACGTTGAAAACACCGTTTCGAGAAAAATATGTTTAAAGCTTTAGGTGACTACAAAGCTGACCTCGAATGCGCAACTTTTCAAGCCTGTATCGCCAAAACCATTCCACGGATCAACTTGATCATTGAGGGCAAGACATCTAGAGATGTTATAGAACCAGAATAAAATTATAAGAATAAGATAAAAAGAAAATCGTTTTTGTTGGTGCCGTGAACTCCATATTAACGCGTAAATATAATTTTACTCTCACGATAACTATTGGAACCGCAAATTTCAAAATTCCAATTGGGTTGTATATTGCTGCACTCACCCATACGCGCGGAAACAAGTCGCTCGCATTAGAGACGACAGTTCGCCGAGTGCAACGAGTACTTAGAGTTCGACAAGTGGGAGTTACCATATGCCTTAGTAAACACACTCATACACACACATACATTTATATGTGTATATTTGCACAAAATGCAGGCGATTTTGGCGGCTGGTCGGTGGGGAGTGAACGGAAGTGAGCTGCATTGCAATCAGGCAAGTGTAAGGAATTTCCTTCTGCTGAACGAGCACGTGGGTTTAGCTGTGTGCGTATGTGTGGCAGCAACTTTCTACGGATACAATGTTGTCGGAACGCCAGACAACGATTTTGCCTGCCAGAGTTGCACACAAAAAAATAGACAAAATGAAAGCAACAGAGGAAATGGGCCGATAGTAGGCTCGTATCTGCGGCAGTTTAGGGCATAATATAGACAATCGTACACACACACACACACACACAGGCACAAACGAAATATTCAAACAAGTGCGCTTGCAATCCAAAATACACACACACACATACATACGTGCTTATAATGGCATTTTCATTTGTTTGTCAAATGACATTCATGGAGCCGAGGATTAAAAACGATTTACTGGTGGAAAACTACTAGAAAAGTACAATAGCAACAACAAGGTTGTCAACGAAAACAACAAAAATACAAACAACATCAAATTTACTGAGTATGTTATTACTTTTCTAGCAATTACACGTTCCTTTCAAACATAAACACGATGATGTACGATACAATGGAGAGGAGGGAGGGTGCTTACTACAGCAACGAACCACAATAATTCGGAATTTGGCGAAGACACGTTACTATGCATTTGCATAGAGGCAAAATATTATACAAGTATTTTTAGTTCAAAGCTTCAAAAGCACATATTTCCGGACAAATTTTTATGATGGACAATTTTGTTAGCGAAACAAGTGAAATGGATCAAAGATAATTTAATACAACTAACTGTTGAACGAATGATTCGATAATCGTGTGTTTTGTTAACTTCGGTGATATTTGCGACTACTCACAACGAAAAAAAAACGAAGGTCCCTAGCATAACCATTTTTACTGTCTCGAAATTCAGAACTAGTGATGGAATTTCTATAACGAAATAAGACCGCTGAATAGAAAGGAAAGTGTAATGTCTGAAGATAGTAAACCCGGTTTTCCAGTCTATGGCGATGGTATAGATATTCCATTGCTCGACTATGATAAGGTTCGGATAGCTATTACACGGCTGAAGAAAAACAAAGCGGCAGTGGTCGATGGATTACCGGCCGAGCTATTCAAATAAGGCGTTGAAAAACTAACAAGGTGCATGCAACAGCTTCTTAGCAAATTATGGTCGGATTAAATCATACCCGACGATTAGAAGCTAAGTGTGCTCCGCCCAATCTACAAAAGGAGCGACCCCACAGTATGAGCCAACTATCGTGGGAATAGCTTCCTCGCATCGCATATAAGGTTTTATCAAGCATAGCCCCACCGTCAACTAACTTCTATAAGTGTAGCTTTAGACCTAGAAAATCTACTATCGACCAGATTAACATATAACGCACACCAACTCTTCGTTCTTTCTAAAGCCTCTCCGAGCTTTTCGATACCAAACGAGGTTTCAGACAAGGATACTCCCTTAATTGGCCATTTCTCCACTTTAGACAAAGAATCGAAGCAAATGGGTCTGGTAGTAAACAAGGGATATACGAAATATTTCCTGTCATCAGAGAAAAAGTCGTCGTATTCCCGACTTGACTCCCACGTCACGGTTGACAGTCATAACTTCGAAGTCGTAGATAATTTCGTCTTATTATTAGAATCAGTATTAACACAAACAACACATCAGTCTCGAAATCCAACGCAGAATAACTCTTGCCAACAGCTGCTACTTCGAACTGAGTAGGCAATTGAGAAGTAAAGTCCTCTCTCGACGAACAAAAATCAAATTCTACAAGTCACTTATCATTCCCGTCTTGCTAAGTACATATAATGCGCAGATGCATGGACGATGATCACATCTGATGAGTCAACGGCGAATACGGCAATCGGCGGAACGATGAGCTGTACGAGGTACGAGGTGGAGAAGGACCTGACTACACTTGCAATCACCAATTGACGCTATATTGTATCAGAGGATGGAGTCATGTGTAGAAGTTCACGCAAGTGAGGAAAATTCTCTGATCGCCATTCGCTAGAGAGTGGCCAGAAATTATTCTTTTACATATGGCTCAAGTATCTCACGACTTCAAGTCATAGACCAGGTAGCCTCTGGGTAATCAAAGAATATCCGTTTGAAGGCGAGACACCGCACTAAACGGGCTTAAAATAGGGAGAGGCTAGCCTTACTGAGGGCAGAGAGATTACCAGATCTTTGGCGATCGAAAGTGCGGCGAACTTTATGTCACTAGAATTAGCAAATGGTCAGAGTGGTGTAAAAATAAGTAATAACCCATTTAAGCGTAATTAATACATATTTTTATAAATTTTGAGACTTACCCAGCAGCAAAAGTTTGATGTCTTTTGCCGCCTGAATGCCATCCTCTTTGAGATTCTTTTCGATTTGCTTTGAACGCTGGAGCGCTGCACGTTCCTCGGCCGATGTTGTGCAACCCATTTTCTTTTATGTTTTTGTTTTTGTTTCCTTTTATGCGGTTAGCGAAGTGAAATAATCAAATGGCTTCGATTACGGCGAATTTATTGCAATGCAATTGTTGGTGTAAAGCGCGTTTTTTGTTGAACACAAGTTGTTGTGATATTTTGTTGTTGTTTGGGTTTTCTTTTTTAGTTTGCCGATTAACGGATGTTGCTGTTCACTTGAATTAATTTTGTTGTAGCGATTGAAATATGTTCGCAAAAACTCACTTATGTAATTGTGGATTTTTCTTACGAAATTTATGTATGTACATATGTATTTCACTTATTTTTTTTTAAGGTTTTGTGCGGTTTGTTCTTTCGTTCTGTTGTAATTTAATTTAATTTTATATTATTTTTATCGTTAAACACACACACTAATCTGCTGCACTACTTATTTTTTCTTACTTTCATTCGGCTTTATTTTGCTCGCACTTTTCGCTACTTTCATATATGCATGTATGTACATGTATGTTTGTATCCGTGTACATATGTTTACATTCAAATATCGTTGGGTCGTTTCATGGACATATCATTAAATCACTATGTGAAAAATGAGTAAACAATGATTGTATTGAAAAAAATTCACATTAAAATGGAATAAGTGCAAAATTATAGAATAACATCGAACAACCACACACACACACACACGCACAGATGCCGACGGAGCTTTTGGTTTTATGGCGTTGATATTCATAAATTACAAACTGTCATACATAAATATTTGCGTTTATGTGTGTAATTTGTCCAAGTATTGACGTTTCGACTTCATTCGATTTACACACACTCACACATGCACATATAATATGTTTTAAACTCATTGAGTAGTTGTGTTATTTTTATACGCTGAATAGGGTATATTAAGTTTAATTTGACGAGATATCTTCACGAAATTTGGCACAGATTATTATTTAAGGCTTTACTAAAATCTTCGAAGAAATTGTTTACATCGGACAACTATAGCATATAGCTGCCATATAAAGTTAAGGATCAAAATCTTATTCTTGTATGGAAAACTATTTAATTTGACGAGATATCTTCACGAAATTTGG